CTATGTGGCACTGTCAATAAACATTTACTCAATACACGTAAACGGAACCAAACATATACTAAGAGAAGTGGTGATTCAATCGATGTTTTGATGGGATATACTATATGTATGTCCATTTGTTAGCAGAAGTTCTATTTTATTTTATCCGTATTTGAGTTTCATGGAGTGTACAGATACTTTTACATGCACAATGAGAATCCATTTTTTGGATGGAGCTTATGCTGTGTTCGGTTGCAATGCAAATAAATTTGCACTGATGCAAAATCATGGAAGTGCAAGTGATTTGAATGTAAATTTTGACCTATTTTTGTTTCAAATTTTAGCTTATTTTGTTTGATTGCAATATAAATGAAGTAAATTAAGGCATAAAGCAGATTAAAGTAAAACCCAAAATATAATTAAATGAGAACTTACATTTTTTTCATTTGTATTCCCATGCATTTGTATTAGTGCAAATAAAATTGCACTACAACCAAACACAACCTTAAGTTTTTGTGACTGTTCTATACAATGATGAGCTTGCTGCTGCTACCATAACCGACCAATGACTTTGAAGTTAAGATTTCAGGGTTTTAGAAATTAAACCCTTCAATGAAATGATTGATAGTTTTAGAACTCACTAAAACCTTATGAAAAAAATTAGGGATAATTTGACTGCACTCCACCTTAGAATTCTGAATTCAATTGCAGACCTACAACAATTCAAAATTATAAACACCTCCACCTATAACACCCATACCCACCCGTGAATTGGCATCAATTCCGAGATGCCTCCTACCCCAACTATATGGTGGAACTAAAATTTCTAGGACTGGACTGAACAATAAAAACCCCAAAAAATTAAGATAGATTTAGGTGGCATTTGATAAATCTGAAATTTGAAATCTAAAAAGATACTAAAAGTGTTTGAAATCTGAAAAGAGATAGATGTTTTTTGACTTTTTAGAGGCTTTGAATAAAGAAAGTTGTTTGTGTTGAATCAAACCTTCAGCATCTGAAATTCACTAATTTTACTATTTTACTCCTAAATTAGACTATTCGGTAATTTTGAGTTCAACTTGTACTATTTCATTAAAATAATTTATTAAATTCAAAATAATATTGAAAAATATGAATAAATTATAAAAATAAAAAATAATTTATTAAAATAAGAAAAGAAATGAAAATACATATAAATTTATAAATTAAAAATAAATGATTAAAATTTAAAATAATAATGAAAATAGGAACAAAGTCCATAAAGTAATAAAAAACATTTAAAAATTAGAAAAATAATATCTTAAAACTATTAAAATATTTAATAATTAATAAAAATTAAAATAGTTAATACAAATAAAATCTACTCAATGGAGAAGAAAGATGAAGAAGAAGAAGAAGAAGAAGAAGAAGAAGAAGAATGAAAAATGAAAAACAGAGGACAGAAGTCGTGGAACCATAGAAGAAGAAGTTATAAATTAAAAATAAATGATTAAAATAAGAAAAGAAATGAAGTTAAAAATGAAAATACATATAAATTTATAAATTAAAATAAGAAAAAAATGAACTTATAAATTAAAATAAGAAAATACATATAAATGAAGTTATAAATTAAAATAAGAAAAAAATGAAAATACATATAAATTTATAAAATAAAAAAAATGATTAAAAGTTAAAATAATAATGAAAATAGTAATAAAATCCATAAAGCAATAAAAAATATTTAATAATTAGAAAAATAATATCTTAAAACTATTAAAATATTTAATAATTAATAAAAATTAAAATAATTAATACAAATAAAATCTACTCAGTGGAGAAGAAAGATGAATAAGAAAAAGAAGAAGAAGAAGAAGAAGAAGAAGAAGAAGAAGAAGAAGAAGAAGATGATGATGATGATGATGATGATGATGATGATGATGATGAAAAACAGAGGACACTCATTGCCACTGGTTAGTTGGAGGAGTCACTTACCGCCACTGTCGAGAGTTGTAGTAGCGATCAAAAATGAAAAACAGAGGACAGAATCCGTGGAACCACAAAAGAAAAAGAAGAATAAGTTATAAATTAAAAATAAATGATTAAAATTTAAAATAATAAAGAAAATAGTAATAAAGTCCATAAAGTAATAAAAAATATTTAATAATTAGAAAAATAATATCTTAAAACTATTAAAATATTTAATAATTAATAAAATTTAAAATAATTCATACAAATAAAATCTTCTCAGTGGAGAAGAAAGATGAATACAGTGAACAAGAAGAAGAAGAAGAAGATGATGATGATGATGATGAAAAACAGAGGACACTCGTTGCCACTAGTTAGCTGGAGGAGTCACTTACCGCCACTGTCGAGAGTTGTAGTGGCGATCAAAAATGAAAAACAAAGGACTGAAGCTGTGGAACCACAAAGGAAGAAGGCCAGAACTTGTCTTCGTTGGTTCACCGGAGGAGTCACTTGCCGCCATTGTCGAGAGTTGCAGCGGTGATTGAAAATGAAAAATAGAGGAAGGAAGCCGTGGGACCATAGAGGAGGGAGAAGGTCGGAACTCACTGCCGCTAGTTGGTTCACCGAAGGAGTCACTTGCCGCCGCTGGTTCGTCGCTGCATCAAGTGGAGAAGATGAACAGTGAGAGGGAGAAACACAAGCATGTTAAGTATTTTGGAATTTTGGCCAGGTCTGAAACACATCTAAAGCATTCAGTGCCTGGCCCAAGTCTTATTATTTCAGATTTGAAAATAATTTTCAGACCCAAATTCAAATACACTTTCAAATACACTTTCAAACACCTCTGACGTCTAAAAAGTAACATTTTCAGAGTATAGAGGTATGAAAAGTGTTATCAAACGCCACCTTAGTTTTAAAGATTTATGGTTGTTTCTTTGTCATCATTGTTATAGCCCAGGTAGCCTAGGTTCAATATTTTGAATAGTTTTATAGGGAAAATCTAAAATTTTCATTCTCTGACAACCTCCCACCTACAGAAGGATGTGATTTCACGATTTCAGTTGGTGTAATTGATTTAACATCAAATTACCCCAAAATGTTTATGAGATCAACTTTGTGAATCAACTCTTGTGAGCAACCCTCAAAGTAATTGTACAAAGGTTGAACCAAGCTACAACCATCATTCTTATTTGAAAATGATAAAGCTGATGGTACTCTTTCAAAATTAGAAGGATAATAAAGGATAAATGTGTATTTTTATCGATTCTGTCAAATACAATGGCATCTCATTTAGATAGGGGAGGTTTAAGTCCTATAAGAAATTAGAGGGGAGGTATAAGTATTTATGACAAACCTCAAGGGAGATTTAAGTTTTTTACCCTTAATTTAATCCCGTTTTTGGTTTTTAGATGGTTTATTGGGCATGTAATATAGATTTAGGTATTTTAGGAGGAATTTTAGGTGAGAGATAGTCTAGGAGAAATTTTAGGAGGGGATTGGCTAAGTGATTCGAAACATGAGAGAGAGAGAGAGAGAGAGTTGGAGTGGGACTGCCACGTGGCTATATGGAAGGGCTGGTAAGGGGTAGTAATATAGATTAAGAGGTGTTTTAGGTGAAATTTTATGTGGGTAAATTATAACCAATGAATAGTTTGGTCAGTCCAGACATGATTGAACCAGTCCAGAATGGTCCAAACTCCAAAGTATTCATCAGATTGGATTAGACGTGGCCCATCTGTAATAGACTTATACTGGACCGGATAGGATTGGCCCAATATCCAGTCCATTGACAGCTTCCTATCATGAGTGCTGGACATTTAACATTAACCACCAGGATAAATGTTCTTCGGAACTGATTTACTAGTAGACCTGGCAAAAAGTTGACCCAATCCAACTCAACCTGAAAAAACAGGGTTAGGCCTGTTAGGGGCTCATATTTAGCTACCTGAAGTTGAGAATGACCTGACCTGACCCGACCCAAAAAAACCTGGGTTGGATTGGGTCATGGGTCAACCCACTGACCCGATTGTTAGGTCTAATTGAGACTATTTATGTATTCTTAGAAGCTTTCTCTCTTTCATCTTTCTATTTAGTATTTACTCTTTATCGTTTACTCTTTGAATTGCTGAATGTTCAAGTTTTTTTATTTTATGTTTGGAATTTTAAGGTTAATTCTTTTAATTTTGACACTTTTCATGTATTTTTTTTTATTTTATAAAATTTCTGTTATTTTTAGGAATGACCCGAATTGACCCATTGCTCAACCCTAACTTGAACATTTAGGATTAGGGTCTAACATTTACTGAACCAACCTGAAATTCAACCCGACCCAAAATCAACCCACAGTTTCTTGACCCAACCCAAATCCGACCCACCAAACCCAATTACCAGATCTATTTGCTAGTAAATAAATCCCACCATGTAATATACCAATAAATAAATTCTACCAACTTAGCCCTTTGCAATAATGTGAACTAGGTTTTATTTCCAGTCGTTTTATATTTTGTACCTAGAATCATACCTCTAACGTTTTCTACCTCAAGTTAGATTCTTAGATGGAGCTTGCCCAAGATCGGTCCTCAAATTGCAGCACCGAACTTGAGCCATGAGACCTTGGTCCCTCCAAGTTTAAAACTACCATACCATGTTTCCCAAATCGATTCATAAGATCTTTTGACCTGACCTCGATGACCCAATGGGATATCAGGTATACTCTGGCCTGAATCAATCGGATCACATGCTCAAGCTTACAGATTCTGTTTCAGCCTAAAGCTTGAAAACAGAGTATAAGGCCATAGACATGAGACTACCATACCATGTTTCCCAAATTGATTCATAAGATCTTTTGGTCTGACCTCTATGACCCAGTGGGATATCAGGTTCAGGTATACTCGGGTCTGAATCAGTCAAATCACATGCTCAAGCTTACACATTCTGTTTCAGCCTAAAGCTTGAAAACAGAGTAGAAGGCCATAGGCATGAACCTCCCTTCTTACTACAGATTGTATAGAATATCTTAACCATCGTTTTTGGGATTGACATTGTTTCATGTGTATTGAAGTGCATAGTTCAGACTGTTGATGAATGAACCTCATTCTGGACTCATGTTTTTTCAAATGTAAGCACCATGGTCCCGTGCCAGTATGAGAGGAATGGGAAACACGAAAGGACAATCAAAATAAATGTAGTTCTGGAAATACAACTCCAAACCCATGCTTTCTAATCTGCCGTGTTCTTTTCTCCCACACAATTAGACCATAGCACCAGGATTTCCCTTTCCATTCCATTGCTGTAACTTCCCTGTTGAAAACTTAAATGGTGTAAATCATTAACTACAGGTAATGAAAGCCGGAAACATAAATAAGCGCATCTACACCTGGGGAGGAATTAAGAACCACATAAAATTTTGGTAGTTCGAGTTACAGAGTCATGGCCCAATAGCTGACAACCCAGGGAGCTACAACCTGCATAAACAAACACCGGAGTCAACATAATATTTGAACAAATAATTAAAACAAGCAAGTTAAGATTCTAGAAAATAAGGGTAAAATTTTAACTGTTAACAATAAAAGAGAAGGCGTAGATGATCAAACAGAATGTTGCTAACGACAATTTTCAGAGGCTTACTTACATTTTGGAGTTATGGTATCTATTCAACATAGAAAATATGGGCACTTCTTTTTTTTATAATACATGAAAGAAGTTTTATTAAAATGAGGGACAAGGGCAGAAAATATATACAAGGGTATTTTGAGAGTACATCATTCTCTGCATGTGATAAATCAGAATAACATGGTCTAGAAATTATGAAATAATGTTAATTACGTAACAATTTATTCAAGGTAAGAACTTGTAAATTTAAGTTCTAAGTAATCTCAATTAAACAAAATGTCAAGACACTTCTAAAAGACTTGAATCCACCACTGGATCAGCCCCGCCATGACAAGGTAGCAGAAAAATCAACACAGTTTAAATTACATGTTCCATGGTTGGGGTGATCATGGGTCCGCTAGTCAGGCTGGGCTTAGTACCTATGATAAGGGTTATAGCCCAGGCCCAAGCCCGGCCTTGACTGGACCTAGCCTTGGGCCAGCCCAGGCTTTTGAGCCTATGGCATCCAATAATGAAAATTTAATTATTAATGAAAATTCAAATTATATGATGTGTATACATGAAAAAATATATTGCATGGGCCCAAGCTGGGCTCAGCATGGCTTGGCTTTAGGCCTATGACACAAAAAATAGGGTATGGGCATCAATACATGGTAGTCTACTCAATACTCAATAATGAATGTTCCCAAGTCCCACATTGCCCAGGAGTTAGAATGAAGGCCTTGCCTTCATCCTTGTATAAACTCTAGAGAAATGGTGTTTTCTCTCATGTGAATTGACTTGTGTCAACTCATGAATATATATATATATATATATATATATATATATTTATATATATATAATGTTCAATTTTGCCTTGAATCCTAAATTCTTATTTTCATTAAGGCTGTGTTTGGTTTGAAGGAAAAAGTAGGGAAAGGAAAGGAAAGGAAAGGAAAGGAAAGGTAGGGAACCCTACCTTTTCCTTCGAATCAAACATAGCCTAAAGGAAAATTTCATTGAGGCCTGTGGTGGATGCGGAGGGCTTGGGCTGTCATCCTCTGAGAGTGTGGGGATGTAGACTCGACCCACATTCTATTTATGGGTCCAACCTGAATATGTTAAGTTATTGGGAGTTTTCTCTTTTATGTATCTCATTGTCTTGGGCACAAAGTATGAGAGAGAGCTCAGCTGCATTGATTTGGGGTTTAGGATTTTCTGTGAGAGACATAGGCTAAAGACCGAACCATGTAAATTTTTCTGGGTTTTGCGCAACATAGATATAATATATGTAATCTTAAATACATATAATTTATTATAAATATCTATTGCAGGCCAGGCTGAAAATGATCACCCCTATTCGTTCCATAGTCAGCATGCAGAATTATATTTTCCCACGATGCTAGTCAATATAGTACTAAAATTTCAATCTATGCTGAATTTGGCTGCAGACAAAACAAATGAAAAAGAATGATTTCCTTAGAAAACAATATTCAATAGGAAACAAAACATTTGTCAATTCCTCCTTTTCTCCTTCACAAAAGGAATGGTTTCCCTGATTGAAAAGGTCTCCAACCTCAAAGTAAACTGGAGCAAAGTTGTGTAGCAGGGCTAAGGAGAGAGGAGAGGTTGAAAGCTTAGCTAGATTGTTGTGTTGTGAAGTAGGTGAGTGGCCTCTACAGTACCTTGGTCTACCCTTGGGAGGGAACCCGACTTCTATCAGCTTCTGGGATCCAGTAGTAGAAAGATTCGCAAAAAGGCTTGCTGGCTGGAAGAGAAACTACATTTCTCTAGGGGGTAGAATAACCCTAACAAAGTTAACATTGACTAATTTTCCAGTCTATTACCTCTCAACCTTTAGGATCCCCTTAAAAGTGGCCAATAAACTGGAGAAAGGATCATTTGGTAAAATGGGAGGTGGTTTCAAGGAGTAGGGATAGTGGAGGCCTAGGGGTAGGAAACATTAAACTTAGGAATTTGGCATTGCTGGGTAAATGGTTGTGGAGGTTTCCCTTGGAACAAGACAACTTATGGCATAAGGTCATCGTAAGCATCCATGGCATGGCAGACAACGAATGGGACACTGGCCTTGATACTAGGGCAACAAGAGCTTCTCCCTAGAAAGGAATTCACAATTTGCCACTGTCTTTCCTTCAGCTGGTTAGGTGTGATGCTTGTATGGATAACAAAGTTCGGTTCTGGGAGGATATCTGGCTTGGGGACATTCCTCTCAAAGACAGATTTCCACCTACTTTTTCTTTGTCCCTCAATAAAGGGAAAGTGATCTCTTCATTGCTTGTTAATTAAAACTACTGGGATCTAGGATGAAGGAGAGGGTTAAGGGAACATGAAATGGGTTTAGTAGATGAACTAATTTCCCTTCTTAATACTGCATTCCTGGACCCCTCTTTCCAGGCCAACAGAATCTGGTCAGAATCCCCCTCTAGCTCCTATACCTGTGCCTCTTTCTTCTCCGCCCTCCTTCATTCCTCGCACCCAGGAGGCTCCTTTCCTACAAAGGAAGTCTGATGTAATCCTGTACCCCCCAAAATAAGAGCCTTTTGTTGGGAGGTGGTGCTCCAGAAAATTAATACTCTGGATAATTTACAGAAAAGAAGGCCAAATCATTGCCTCTCCCCTCATGTTTGTTGCCTTTGTTTGGGAAATGGTGAGACAGTTACACATCTATTACTTTCTTGTCCCTTTGCTTCTTGTGTGTGGAATTAGTTCTCTTCCTTATTTGGCTACAGGTGGACCTCTCCTCCAGATGTGACAAGTCTTTTCAACCCAAGCTTCTTCCTCCTATCAAAGAAAAGGGGGAGAGTGATGTGGAGGGCAACAAGAGCAGCCATTCTCTGGTCTTTATGGGAAGAAAGGAATAACAGAATATTCCAAGGGGCATAAAGAACAACAGAACAAATTATTGACTGCTTAGTCATTGAAGTCATACATTGGCTGAAAGTAAGTGACTTACTTAAAGACTTTTCAGTGGATGATTTACAAAGGGGATGGTCAGCAGTGGCAAACTCTTCAGCCAAACAGCCTGTCCCTCAGCCTTCTTGGACACCTGTAGCACAACAAAGGGTCAAATTAAACTTTGATGGAAGCTCCATGGGTAACCCAGGACCCTCAGGAGTTGGGGGAGTCTTTAGGTATGGGGAGGGCAAAATGGTTGCACTATATTCTGGTCTCATAGGAGTGGGAGACTCTACGAGAGCTGAAATTTTGGCTATACTACAAGGCCTGAGATTTGCAAAACAATGGGGATTTCAGAACTTGGTGGTGGAAGGGGACTCTAAATTGATAATAGGATGGCCGCAAACAAAGAGTTTGGGTGTATGGCAATTTAGACAGCAAATAAGGGAAATAATCTGCTTGGCAAGGGAAGCTGGAGTAATTTTCAAATGGGTTAGGAGATCAGCAAATTCTGTGGAAGATAGCTTGGCAAAACAAGGGACCTTTGGGGAAAACTTTTTTTGGGCTGTACAGTAATTCTTGATGTCACTCTTTGTTTGAGTGGTTGACAGTGCAAGATGTAATTTGATATCCTTAATGAAAGTCACTGTTTCCAATCAAAAAAGAAAAAAAGGAAACAAAACATTTTCCTAGTTTTTTCTGGTCTTGGCTCAACTTGGAGAACAGACCTGAATCATTAAGAAAGAAGTAGATGGGCATCATGATAATTGAATTAAGAAGACCAATCCTCTGTTAAGAAAATGACTTGCAAAAACTTACAATGAATGCCATTTTACTACAATTAACACCCAGAAAACAAAACAAATGAAAAAGAATGATTCCTCAGAAAACTGTATTCAATAGGACATAAGATATTTGCCTAGTTTTTTCTGGTTTTGGCTCAACTTGGAGAACAGACCTGAATGGTTAAGAAAGAAGTAGATGGGCATCATTAGATTTGAATTAGGAAGACCAACCCTCTGTTCAGAAAGTGACTTGCAAAAACTTGCAATGAATGCCCTTTTACTACAATGAATACCCACTTTTATTTTCAATAGTCATTTTATGTACATTTAATAGCATTTTCTGTGGAAATAGTTTGCTTTCCTTCATTTTACATGTAATCAAATGGAAATGTTTAATTATTCATTTTGTGAGTTTATATTCTAGTTTCTTTCTATTAATTTCTTATTTGTTAGGCTTCAATCACACACATGATGGTATATGCTTTCCTTTTTCCCCTTTTTCTAGGACAAAAACAGGGCTCAGCCCCAATAGTTTCTGATTTTTTTTTCTTCTTTTTCTTCTCATGAATATGTTGATTTTCTATGATGGGTCTTAATTGTAACATGATTTCAAACAATTTGGGGGATAGAAAGTGGGGGAAAAGTCACCACTTTGAGGTGATTGGCACCTTATCATTCTTCTAAACATATCTAATTCTTTTTTCAAATCAATAAAGTTACATGTGAACCAAAAAAACGAAGTTACATTATACCAATAAAAAATATGTTAATTCTCTAGTTTTAATATGCAGTTTATAATTTTAATGAAGATTATTAATAATTACTAATGAAAGATGGTTGTTGGTTGCTATAGAACCTAGGGAATTATCCAATTCAAGATTTTTATTTAAAAACCCATTGCCTAGGCAATGCTGAGACGCCCACCTAGGCAACAAGGAGCCCCCTATTGCCTAGCCTTGCCTTGGCACTTTAACAACCATGACAATACTAGTCAAAAAACAAGGGTTTCACCATTGAAACTCCGCTAGTGTGAGCTTGTCTTAAACTGCCAGTCCCAAGCCTAAAGGAGGGTTGCATCAGGTTGGCAACCAGCATTAAAACTTTTGTCAAACCCTCATGAATATAGATCCTATCATAGTTGTCAAGGCATCTAGGCGATTCTGGGTGACACT